AGGGTTCAGCTTGAAAATCTTTTGGTAGATGCTATATCTTTAATAAATGTTAAATACAGGCATCACATTTTTAAAGAACATTTGTTTTTTAAGGGCCTTTGTGCATTCATCTGAGGAAAAAGCAACCAAATCTGTTTTATTCAAATTCCAAATTCTAGGGGAGCAGATTGTCACAGAATATACAGTGATAAACTTCCAAAAAGGAAAATGGGTGGAAGAACTGTAGGTATTTCTCATGCATGCTAGAAACCTTGATGCTCTGTGAGTGATCGGCAGCTCTGCCATTCTCTTTTGGTCAAGTTATTTTGTAAAAACTTAATTTATTGATTATTTCATATGTTTTCTTTATGGAAAAATCTTATAAATATTCATATTCAGAATAGCATGTGTCTCTTCTGTTGATCCTAAAGCCATAAAAGAAGTTTCGCTCCCAGTGTCATATCGACAATGAAATTATCACAAAACCAAAAATAATTCATGTAAATGTCTACATTGTTTAATAATTGGTTTTAGATCCAAAGCATCATTCTTTCTGTTTAAACTGATTGATCAGAACTGAATATGTTAAATGACTTATAGGAGCCCTGTAGATAATATACAGAAAGAATTCACCTTTCAAGTAAAAGTCTATTTGCTTTGCCTGGCCCATCAGTTTCCATATTTGCAGTGGCTTCCCATTATTGACTGGCATCATGCATTGAGAATTAGTTTTTCAAACGCAGTGTATTTACTTCTGAACTTCTCTGCTGGTAACAGCCTGTGCATACATGACATTTGTAATGCTGATGGTTGATTTCAAAGTATAGTATCTAAGTCCAATTTTTCATGCATTTTATAAAGCTTTTGTCCTTAAGACATTGATTTAAGTCGCTCAAAATGGATTCTTAAGAGAGAGATCATGTCTATGTTTACATAATTGCAACCTCTAGTGTGCTTTGTGAATTTTAGTTGGCACCCTCCAATCCCTCTGTTAAGTGGTTATCAAGGGTGGTTATTACCATTTACAATATGAGGAAACCAGGAGACAGGGATTTTATTGACTTACACTGTGAGATGGCATTGCTGCTAGTCGGTTAATATGTGTTTTCTTCTCTTTTCTAAACAAATTTTAAAATTTAGCTGTAATATGCAAGGCATCACTCTCTGTCAGGAATATAATTGTCAGGTGTCCTGGTATGGATAGAGATCCTGCAGGAACCTTCAGGACCCATCCCAAATGAAGGCTCAGGAGACACAAGATACAGTTCTATCCCGTCTTGACTTTCTTGTGGGTCAGAGTGAGTTATTAATATTTGGAGTGTTCTCATGAAGACACCTGCCTGTTCAGCACACACAATCTTAAGGTTTTTGCTGTAAGAAACACAATCATCCCTTTTGCCTCCCGGGCCTGGGACCCTGGCCCTGCTCTCATTTTGCGCTTCAAGGATTCTTGGTTCCTGGCCGTTTCCTTAATTCCCTAATTTCCACAGTTTGACAGCACTGAATGTTGAGTTAAACTTCTTGCCACCATATAAAAATTTCCTGACACCTCTTGCAATATCAATTGTTGTGTAATATATAATTATGTAAGATATAATAAATATATAATAATCATTGTAATTCTTATCACTGTTATAGCCCCTAACTTTAGGGAGTGCTTGCTATGTACCAGCCACCCATTGAATTTTCATAACAAGCATATAAAGTGAGTACTAGCAATATCCCCATTTTACCAATGAGGAAACTGAGGCACAGTGAGGTTTTCTAACTGGATGAAGGTCACACAGTTGCTAAGTGACAGATGCCAAACTTAAACTTGGGTCATGTTGCTGTCAAATCTGTGAAGAAGGGATGCTGACGTGAAGAATCGTAGCAATATTTTAGCTCCCATAATAGTGAAAATTTGTGGAAGCTCTTCCTGTGATTCCAGTGAGATATAGCATTGTTTTATATTCCCTTTCTTGGTGCTTTCTGAACGGCATTCCTGCCACTAAACTACCACCGTTTTCCTACAAGGGACATCTGATCAGTTTCTGAATTGAGTCCCAAGATACGTGCCTTAAGCTATTGCATGAATATCCTCTATGTGGGAAATTCTTATGTTCTGATAGATGGAGAAAAATGTGGTGGAGATAGTAAAATATCACCAGTTTCAAACATGTGTATATTACCTTAAATTTGAGGCAGATTAGGGAGAGTGAGAAGAAAAAGAAGAAGAGCAATAATTCAAAAGAGTGGCAGCAAGGACATTCAGTGAAGCCTTTCCCTCCCATGATGAAAAAAGTAATCCCTAGTTACTGACAGTTCACTGGGACGTTACTGTAGGTGCTTTACAATAGTCTTTCAAGGCTTATTCAAATTATGATTGAGGAAGTGGAGGCTTGGAGGAAGGAAATGTGGGCATAGTTGCACAGTCCATAAGAGGGGAAGCTAGGATTTAAATAGGTTTGCCTGACACTGAGCTTGTGCTCTCGCTAAAATACCATCATATCTTTCTGCCTCTAAAGAGAAGCTGGTCCTGTTGAACCTGGGAAATCAGTGGCAAACATGAGGCTTTCAAGATTCAGTAAGATGGAGGAGGCCAGAGGTTCAGCACGTGTTGCCAGAAACTAGTCACTGAAGACTGGAGGAGTACTTCAGAAAGGCTTGGGGAATGGGTGGGTAGAAATAATTGTACATAAAATGAAAGAAACACAACCTTTTGAAAGAGTGGTAATAGAAGGCGATACTAAAATATTTAGAAAGCGAGTAAGGTTTTGTTTTTTAAGAAGCAGGGTCTTACTCAGTTGCCCAGGCTGGAGTGCAGTGGCACAATCATAGCTCATTGCAGCCTTAACTCCTGAGCTGAAGTGACCTTCCCACTTCAGCCTCTTGAGTAGCTGGGACTACAGGCATATTAACACACTCAGCTGTTTTTATTTTTTCTAGTAATGAGGGCTCACCACGTTGCCCAAGGCTGGTCTTGACCTCCTGGCCACAAGTATTCCTCTTGCCTAGGCCTCAAGAAGCTAGTAAGCTTCTAATCAGTTTGCACTTTTGAGTATGCTAATGCTTTTTTTAAAATTACCACTCAATGGTAATAAATGGTGATGTGGTAATTCCAAGCTGTTTAGGAAAATTTGTACTACCAAATGTCACTGTCACTCAAGGGATTATTGCATATAGGTCTTATTTTGTTTGTTCTTTTTTAAGGTTTTCTCTGCTTTTCTTCCTTCTGTTACCATGGCAATATTAATGTTATTGATCTGAGTGGAACATGATGTTATTCACCAGCATGACATACATTAGATTTGTAAAGAATCTATTTATTAGAACAATTCATCAGGTGTTAGTAATGCTCATGCATTGAATTATTCTTTGGTCACCCAATACAGAAGCCTCTCCTGAGGCAAAGAGGCACCTTTTTTTCACAAAATGGTTGATTTCTTATTTTAAACACATAGTGTGTGTAGCCAGCACTGCTTTCTCTGGAGGATCTACCAGAGGATTCCGGTGGCGTGTTTGTCAGCTTTCCCTGAGGCCATCTGCAGGAATGGAACTGGTGCTGGCAGGGAACGGTCACTCCCAATCCACTCAACTCAAACGTGGCTATCACCATGCCAGCCATGTCAAAACTGGATATTTCCTGTTCGCAGAAAGTTGAAGCAAGTCCGTCTTGGAGAACATCTGATTGGAGATTTTAACATGGATAAAGATGATTCAGGGGACAAAAAGCCCAATTTTCCATTTTCACAAGCTCTAGGTAGAGCCACCCTAGCTGACTAGAGCGAAGTGTGACTGAGGCATGTTTATTATTAGAAAGAGATGGAAATTCTGGAGATGAGCATTGACTTAACTCTGTTTCAGTAATGTCGTGGTCACACCAGTAAGTCCCAGCTTCCCTCCTCCCTGTGTAGCTCTTTCTCCTTTTTCCCGTCTGTGGCACTCCTGACAGCAGCGTGTTAGGCTGGTTCCCTTTCTCAGCTGGTGGAGGTCCGTGGCCTCTTAGCCTGTGCCTCCCGGCACATCTGAAGAAACCCACAGTTCCCAGCAAGGCACTGACACTTGTATCTTACTGCTTAATTATTATACCTGTTTAATGCTACTTAGAACATTGTCAGCTGTTGAGAAAAGGTAATTATCACTAGTCAAATGAAAAACACTTTTTTGGCTGCCTTACGGACACACATTTTACTGGTACCTTGATACATAATGAAGCCTGATAGCAAAACTTTTGCTTGTCTCTTCTTCGAGCCACAGCTGTTTCCCTGCTAAATTCATCCCATCTGTCTTCCCTTCCGTAAAGCTGTAGGCAGTATAGCATAAGTACAGAAGCAGTTCAGTGCTATTTTGGATAAACATAGCTGAAATTTGAATCTTTGCCATTTGCGATGCACACATTTTGTTTTACTGCTGTAAAGAGAGCTGTCAAAATACAACTACATGGATAATTTACTAAAATGCAGTCAAATGTAAGGTTGATCAAAGGGAAAGTACATTGGGTCACTCCAAATATTCCAGTCTGTGCTCTGAAAGGTGTCACTGACCTTGAGGTCCCCGTGAATTCTGTGTTGGGAGAGTGGCATCTGAAGTCTTTGCTTTAATCCTGCAGCATGGTTTTGAGGAGTTATCAGTTCCTTGTAACTGTGTCTGTGGCATGACTTTCAGAGTCTTCCAGAGGTCTCAGAAGTCCATTTTCTCCATCTTCAAAAAACGTGCACTGATGAGAGATGTTTTCTCTTTTTTGGCACAGCCAGCCAGAGTTGAGCTACATGACCATCCTGCTGAGTCCTGAAGCTTATTTCATTGGAACCTTTGTTACCAACTGAGGCAGTCTGTTTCATTTTCATCCCATTCCTTATTTCTGGACTATTGGTGCATCTAAATGTACCATGGTACATTTTAAAAAATCAATACTATATAATGCCTTACAGTCAAGGGAGATGTTTTCTCGAATGAAGTCCTCTTCTAGATTCTAAGATTCACGTCCACCGGCCCACAGCCCTCTCACACATATTCACTGCTTCTTCCCATGTGCAAAGGTCTTCGCGAGGCCAAAATGGATCATGACCTCTTTGAGGAGAAGGGCCAATACCTAATATATTTTGGTAGCCACTGTGGTCAGAGCTCATAAGAGGTACCTGGACTTCAGGTAAGTGAAACATGGATCTTATCCTGTTGGTTTTTAAGATTTCTTTACCTTAACCTCTCTGCACCACTTCTCAACCCAGCATCAGTGTAGCGAAGAGGGAATGAAGGGAGTTGCAGGAAAGGTTTTGGGACCAGACCGAGGAGTGAGCCCACTGCTTTCTGTCCTTCCTGACTTTCTCAGTCACCTGGCTCACCCAACTGCACGAGCTGGGATGCGTGAACTAGAAGAGGAGGAACCTGTGGAGTGGCAAGCTCTCATTCCTATCATCCCTGCCTCTAAAAATAACCCTCAATAAACAGATGACAGCAAAAGTCGTCTCATGCATATAAAGACATGGCAGAAAGCAGTACCTTTTTAGGTAAGGGGCTGGTGGCTGTGAAGGTAAGGATAGTGACCAGGGAGGTGTCCCTCCTAACACTGTCATGCACACATCCTTCTCACAAATGTGATCTTGCTAACAACTACACATCCTCCTTGGAGTGAAATCTTGGCTGTCTTGTTCTCCCCTGTATCCCAGTACCCAGTAGAGAAGACATTGTAGGTGCTCAGAAAATATTTGTTGAGCAAAAACGAATGCATGAAGAGTAGAATAAATTCATGTTGTATTTTTTTACATTACCTTAAAATTCCTACCTTTTGTACAGCTAGAAGAGGCGAGCATCCATGTGCGCATTGCATTTAAACAGCTTTAGCAAAATCATAGTGCTGTTGGGTCCTCAGCAGCTGCCAGCGAAATCGTTTAGCTAGAAAGTCCCCAAGGCCTTTTCTGCACCAAGGTGTTTTCCTTCTCTCATCTAGTTTTCTTTTGGCAAAAAAAAAAAAAAAAAAGCCTAGTCTCCTTGGAAGGCAAAAAAAGTAGATGACTGCCACACATGCAACCAACTCTCTACTTCAACCAAAGGTGGAAATGGTTTTGTCAGTGATTCTTTGAAAGCCATCTATTTAAAAAGATAAATAAATCTTTACCCTTACCCTGTAAGGACATCTGCTCTCAGGCCAATAGGTGCTTTCCAAACCCAGTCAGGTCCACCGATGCTGTTCTTAAAAATGCATTCTTTCATTCAACACCTGCGTGTGCTGGACACTGTGCTAGGTGCTGTGGGTGCCAGCAGGATTCCGTCCTGACTCTCAGAAAGCTAACATTTGAGTGCAGGAGGCAGACAGTCACCGTGCACTGTGGTCAGAGCCATGTGTGGAGCACAGAAGAAGGAACAGGTCAGCATGAGACCAGGAGGGGCCCTGTGGAGTGATGAGGTTGATGCCTTAGGAGATGCAGCGTACGCAGAGGAGAATAAGGCCTTTCTCTTCTAATGTTTTTTTGGATTGCACACTTTAGAAAACCATTCTAGACTTAAGACCCAAAATGAGAAGAAGCACGTGACTTCTGGCTGACAGTCCCATCATCCCCAGTGTCAGCACATGGTTCTGTGCCTTGCTGGACCTCCTGACTACCCAGCCAGCCAGCGGGACTGCGCCTGTGGCTCTCCAGCCCCACAACCAGCCTGACAGAAGTTGCTTCCTATAATGCCTAGTACAGCACAATCCATTCACATCATGGGTCCAAAGGCAGATTTTTATCTTGAGAGGGAAAAAATAATATATGTGACAAAAATGTTATCTATGGCAATGTAACTTATTAACTCCACCGTGTGATTAGTTTCTTGAGGTTTTTTAGCAGTCCACTGACATCTTCTCCCCATCTTCATGGGGAGTTTGTCGTCACTCTACAGAGCCCTTCCCGGTCTCCTCATGCTGACCTGTTCCTCCTTCTGTGCTCCACACATGGCTCTGACCACAGTACACTGTGACTGTCTGCCTCCTGCACCCAAATGTTAGCTCCCTGATGCACTTGAATGTGAGCTCTGGACTTTATGATAAGTTTAGAGCCTGTGCCTTTGCCTCTGTTGGCATGGGTGGTCCTCCAGTATCTCTGATAGGGAGAGTAGTGACATCATTCTGCTGATAGGGCACATGCCCACTTAGACCGTCTAAATAATGAAATCTCTTGGAAATACCCATCCAAGGGGTAGATGTGAACTGTCAGTGTTCCCATGAGAGTCAGCAAGGTCAGTGTCATTGGCTAGAGAGAAGGTTGAAAATAACCCTTCATTCAGAGGCCTATGTAGAATGTTGGGTTGCTGTGCTCAGGTCCTCTGGACCCCAAAATTAACATGGTACGATGAAGTGGTGTTCCTAGCGGGGAACAAAAGTGGCTGTCAAAATTAACATGGCTCTGTTTGACACCTGGTCCTAAAAGTGATATTTATTTCTGAAAATCACAGTTTGGAGCACCTGGTGGCATTGGTGGTGCTCTTTCCGAACGTCGTACGCTTAGGTTTTCCAGTTCACGAATTGTTTTGGGGGAGCTTATACACTTGTTCCCATCCTCGGGGATGGGCTAGTTGCTATGTTACAAACCTTAACCTTTGCTTATACCTCTGTTTTATTCATGGGAGGTCACAACTTAGTAATTCTATATAGTATTCAAGCAGATGATTACAAGTGCCTAGCAGACTAATATAGCTAGCATTTGATTTGAAAGGAACAAAGACCAATTAATAGTTTTCTGAGACCATACTTAATATTTCATCAGGCAGGTATGGTTGCTGCCATTTCGTTAACTGGGATGCCAAGGAATTGCTAAAAAAAAAAATTAATACACATTATTACACATATTTACACACACTGAACTATTTCAAACCAGTATTGCTGGAATAAAGACAAAATAATACTGTGTATTTACATAACACCATAACACCTTTCATCAGAAAAATCGCAAGCCTTCGCAAACTAACTAAGCTGTACAACACCCTGTGAGGTGTGTAGGAGGTAAGGCAGAGCAATAAACAAGGAGGTGATGAAGGAAAAAGGCAGGCAGGCAAGCATACTTGCTTAGGGTGAGCCAGACTCCTGCTGGGTGACCACTGGCATTCAAGTCCTGGTCGCCTCATTGTGAGGAAACCTAGATTGAAAGCATCAGTACATGTCGCAGGTGATTATAGACTTGAGGATTCTTCTCTATGTTGTCTTTGCATTGTAAAGTCTGCGTTTTAATTGAATTGACTGGACAGAGACACAGCATTACGTCTGCCCTGGGCTGCAGCAGTGACTCCCAGTGTGATCATCTGATCATCGTTTCACTTTTCCTAGGGCCTACCAAATACAGTTTTCTTTCTCCTTAGCCAGGATTTTTTTACTAAAGTGTGACAGTTTACTCTCTAGAAATGCCTAGAGATGGCTGGGTGCATGCTGGTCCAAGGAAAAGGCATGGGTGAGTCATGGTCTCTTTAGGGAGGGTCAGGACTGGTCAGAACAATTCATACCCAGGCCTACCTCAGTGGCTGCCATGCCCAACACCTCCCATGACAGCCCTGGCCTGGCACTGTGGCCACAGAGGCGTGACCAGGCCTTCTGTGGAGCACCTGAGACCAGCCTGGAGCTAGAGGCAGTGGAGGGCCAGGAGAATCAGTGTGAACACAGGAATATCACCAGGCCAATGGAAGTAGTGAATTTTGCATTTAGAATTTTGGAATAAATTGGGAATGTACTATTCTGTTGGAGATTCAGAAAGTTCAGTCCTGAAACTTAGTACTCATCCACTTATGCCTTGCAAAGGATTTATTCACCTCATCATTTCAGAAAAAAAAACTTTCTCTATGTCAGTCCTTCACACAGCCTCTGTTTCGGCTTAACCTTTCAGATTTTCAGATAATTTAGGTGTCACAGATACCCATGTTAGGATCGTTTTTCAGACACTATAATTTAAATGTCTCTGAAATGTAATAAATAGAGCTTTGTCTGGGTTTGGGAAATAATGTTTTCTTCCCAAACAGCTGTTCATCTGTATTAACAATTTTTTTCTCTCTCTAACAGAAAGGCAGCATTTCTTTTTTGTGTATAATCTCATCTGCCTTTTCATCATGTTCGCTGTGTCCAGTCTGTTGTCTGGTATTATTTTCAATATCCTGATGTACCATGGGCAGATGACTAGCATGACCTCAGGGCTTTCTGCAGAGAAGGTGCCACTGGTTTTTCCAGACCCTATTCTAGGTCAGACTGTCACTGTCTATCTTAGTGGGGCTGGCTAACTTCATTACTTATTCAGTTCATCCGAGACCATTTTGGTAAAAGCATTGAAATACCAATGCAGTATGAGCAAGTCTTTGCTCCCGTATTTAACTGGCAAAGCCAAGGACTTTGGTTTTCCATTTTTGGGGCCCCAGTTAACACCCAAAGGACAGCAGTTTATGAGGCTCTGATGAAGATGGTGAGAACTGGCATTTGATACCTATCAATATTTGATTTATTTGATATAGGTGATCTTTTAACAACCTTGAAACATAGGTGGAAGTATTGTTAACATTAAATTTTACTTTGAAGAAATTCAGGCCCAGAGAGGATGAATGTCACAGATTCCCATGGCTGGCAGGCTGGGCCTCATACCCTTTCCTACTTAATGTCTCTGAGATTCGTTGGAGAGAAGAGTAGTTAAAAGTGTGTATTCTGAACCCAGGCAGTTTAAGTTCAGATCCTGTGTCTACTATTTCTGTCCTGTGCGATTTTGGGGCAAGCTACTTAACGTGGGCCTAAACTTCTTCATCTGTAAAATTATAACAGTTGTGTTACCCATGTCACAGGCTTCTTTCAAGGATTGAATGAGTTACTACATAGAAATGTTAGCGACAGTGCGGGCACATAGTAAGTACTCAACAAACGTTAGGCAGGGGAGTTGTTTAAAGTACCCATATAGGAAACAGCCAGTAATAGGAAATCAGAGTCTATTATGCCAGGGGAGGAGATGTTACACAGCTCCCATTCGGAGTGGACAAGCTGACTAGGGAAAGGCCCTCTGGTCCGGACGACAGGGAAAGCTCATTCCGCCTATACTGTTAGCAAAGTCAGAATAAAAACTTTCTGTTTTTGCGGTAAAATCCAGGACTATTCCAGCCTATTAAGTTAACGAAAGGCAAATAATTGATGGTGTCTGTCACTGGGGAATTTAGTCTCACTTTCAGTGGAACAGTCAATATGCAGGTCTCCACTTTTGAGGGACAGGAGTGCCACTTCCTAATGCTACATTCCAGAATCCTTTCCAGATGCCTTCCTGATTTAGTCCCTTAAAGTTGGAAACCTGCGGGGCACTGTGTGCCTAAACCACACTGACTTCCAAGTAACATATCTCCATTCACAACCTTTTGTGCCCAGACCCTCTTGGACGCTGCTGTTGACCATTGACTGATTATGTGATCCAAGATTTATGACTCTGGAAGTGTTGGAGAGATAGCAAAGGCTTTCAATTGTTTGTCTATTTTATTTTATTTTATTTTATTTTATTTTTTGAGACGAAGTTTCACTCTTATTGCCCAGGCTGGAGTGCAGTGGCGCAATCTCGGCTCACTGCAACCTCCCCTTCCCGGGTTCAAGTGATTCTCCTGCCTCAGCCTCCCTGGTAGCTGGGATTACAGGCACACGCCACCACGCCCAGCTAATTTTTTGTAATTTTAGTAGAAACGGTTTCTCCATGTTGGGCAGGCTGGTCTCAATCTCCCGACCTCAGGTGATCCATCCACCTCAGACTCCCAAAGTGCTGGGATTACAGGCCTGAGCCACCGTGCCTGGCCTGTTTGTCTATTTTAAATCCTGTTCCCTGTTCCACTTTGAACTGGATTGAAGTCAGCAATGGAATCAGGAGTGTGGAAGCTGCGGTACCAGAGGTGAGAACCAGTGAGAGACACTTGGCTTATGGCAATCAGTCCAGCTTCAATCAGATAGGAGACACAGTGAGGGAGTGAGCGGAATGGGAGAGAGACCCCCCTGAGGTGACAGCATCCTTGTCTCTCTCAGCAGACACGAGA